GCCTTTAGAACTACTTGTGTTTTGGGCATTTTATAACTGATTTTAACCAACCATTGTTACACACAGGATTAGTGTGGCAATTTTAAATTAAGTTGAATGAAAATTTCAAAATAAAAGCCCTGAAATTCTTTTATATCACGTAATTGCTCTCTTGGGCTTTATGTGACTTTTTTTATATACACCACTGTAAAACTTTGGATATTTTGGACATTTAAAATGAAGCTTAATGAAAATTTCAAAATAAATGTCTTAAGATTCCTTTCTGGCTCATGCCTATTTTAGTGAAAATGGCTGCCTCAAACTGATAGAATTCTGTCTCCCCCTGTCTGACTCACAGCTGGCAGAGGATCCATTACCATAGCAACGGAGCAGCAGGGCCAGTGGTTAGGACTACAAAACCGCATCACTGTAGTTCTAACTATGGCAGAACTCAGAGGAAAAAGCTGGACTTTAGAACTGCCTGTGTTTTGGGCCTTTTATAACTCATTTTAACCAACCATTGTTACACATGGAATTAGTTTGGCAATTTTAAATTAAGCTTTAAACAAATTTCAAAATAAAAGCCTTGACAATTTTTATATTAAGTAAGTGCTTTTTTGACCATTATATGTCTGATTTAACCAAATCACTGTTGTACATGGGATTACATTGACCGTTTAAAATTAAGCATTCTGAAAATTCCAAAATAAAAGCCTTGAGATTCGTCTGTGGCTAATGCAGCGCCGCGGGCGCTGCAATGATATTAGCTTGCATTATCTTTTCCTCTCAAGTTAGGGCACTGTCTTGCGCAGCAAGGTAGAGCATTAGCATTAGCCTTTTACCTTGCATGAGGTATTCGCTATTTCCCTTACTTAATGCAGTAAGTCATGCTTGTGACTCTCCACATGGTATTGATGACATTGCAGCTTTCTTTAGCATGGATGCTAATGTTTAGCATCAGAAACGCTGGGTCCAAACTGACGGGCACACTTTGGCAGGCCCCGGTTAAATTTCTTCAGGAATTTTCTAGTTCTGGGTTTATTGTGTTAAAAAGCACAAAAGTTGTGAACAGATGTCATGCTTTTTTCAAATTATTCTTTGTTTGGACCCTTATTTTATTAAAATTTAAAAAACAATTGAACCCAAAATTGTGCATAAACCTATCAGAGAAAATTATTTTAATTTTACCACTATGCTTGTGTTTAAAGTGAAACAAGACAAGCTTTTCTCTAAGGATAAAAATTTAAAATGTACGAAGAGTATTCTTTTAGTTTTGATTAGTTTTTTAAGAAAAAATGGCATGTTGAGAATTATTTAATAAGGTCCATAATTAATGAGGTTATTAAAATATAATTGATCCTTTTTGTAGTGAAGAAGGAAGTGATTTCAGCAGTCAAATCCTTCTTGCATGTCCCTGGGACTTTCAGGATGTCTTTAGTGATGGACTCTGAGTCTTTGAGGTTGGAAGGCTCCTCGCCATCACTTTAATCTGTAATAATCTGTAATCCCTGTCAGACTCAAATCGGGATCCTGCTTGGGAAGTTCTAAAACATCAGTTTTACTTCCAATCAATGAAACATGTAAGGGTTTACATAAAAATCTAGCCATCACTCTAGGAATGGGTATCAAAGACAGCAAAGGGTTTTGTTGATGTTTCTAAGCAGTTAATGATGTTATTGCATCTGCTGGTGGAGTAAAAGCCTTGAAATACATTAACCCTCGTTCCGTCTTAACATTCTGTTTACTCCCCTTGTCCTCCGGGTCAAAAATGACACGCCCTAACAAAAGCCCCAAAAATAATGCACTTTATTTGAATTTGAAATCCAAAATCTATTTTGAACAATAACAATCTGTTATTTATCAATTCAGTTTAATTCATTTTTAAATCAATTAAATTTAAAAATCATGTATTGTTATGTTCTGCAACACAAAAAGACAATCAGCATTACGCTTTCATAAGTTTTCTTTTATACAGTTATGGTTTATTATCGTAATTAATACAATAATAATTAAAAATAATTATTAAATGTAGTTCTGAATTAATAGTGAAAGGGAAAACAGTCAATCTGCAACTTTTTTTTTCAACAATTCATTTTTTCATACTGTTTAGGAGGGGGCCAATCAACAAAAGTCATGTTTTAAGATACAAAGTTGGGGGATCCTCGAGGTAGCAAGCAGTGAGATGTTTTTAAAAAAGTGTGTTTTGGTAAAAGTTGTAGAGAAGGGCAGAGAAAGTGTATACCAACCCAATCAATTCAGTTGGTTTAGATCATTGCTCGCAATTATTTTCCTGTTTTAGCACAAGGAGCTCAGATGAAGGGCTTTCATTAACTCTGAGCACTTCTGTACACACTACTTAATTCATATGGAAATTAAACGTGTCAACAAGAAATGCAGCAGCACTTTATCAATTTCAAAAGAGGGAAATACCCCGGTATTCAAATCTATTTTTAATTTAAGCGTGGTTGTCGGCACGCAAGCACAACCACATTTTGTGTTATTAGCACAATAACAAGTTAAAGAGGGAAAGCTGTGCCTGTGTGTGTGTGTGTGTGTGTGTGTGTGCGTGTGTGTGCGGGGGTGTGTGTGTGTGGGGGTGTGTGTGTGTGTGAGGGTGTGTGTGTGTGTGTGTGTGTGTGTGTGTGTGTGTGTGCAGGAGTGAGGGTGTATCAAGAAATAACAGCCTATGTGACCCCCCAGGGAAATCACTCGCTTACAGCTCTCTGAGAAATAAATACACTTTTGAAGTGCAACTCGTAAACAACAAGCCAGACGGTTGCAATACAGTATGCCTTCAATGAGGGGCATGTATGTCCCGGCTGCAGGTCAACATGGTTAAATAACTTTGATTACTGGAACATTATGGCTGTTTCTCTATTGTTTAACAGTGGGATTCGAAGTATTTTTGTTTTAAAAACAGTATTTTTTTTATTTTAAACTCTTAGTATGTTTCAATGTGCTAATTTTAGATCTATATGTCAAATATATATATGTCATATATTTATATGTCTTAATGTATGTTTTTATTGTTGTCTAGTGCTCACAATGATGACCCACAGTCTTAGTAGGTCATTTGTCTTTAGTTTGTGAGATTGACAGCACTGTGCTTCTGTGCACTCAGTGAAATATGTTCTCCAGTTCAGCCTAGTAGGTCTGATACTGAAACACATTTAGTGTGAAGGGACTGTGGGCAGTCAGTGACAAACAAGGCAGACATAACAAAGAGAAACCCCTGAAATCTGGGATCCATCCTGTATCCCACAGATAAGCTCACCACTAATAGAAAATCATGAACTCATTTATAAAGCTGCACTGGACAAATACATTCATGAAAGGGCAATGTTGACTTTTGACATTTTCTTAAAACCATAGATATTTCAGATCATAATCTTCCTTGCATATGTGGCCAATTCAAAAACCAGCAAGCACAGGTGGGATGGGATTCAGCAAAATAATAATATAAAGGTTCTATCTGTAAGACTAAGTTCAAAGAAGGGAAGAAATCCAGACAATTTAACAAAGCTCTGAAATGAAGTCTTTGTTGTATTCAGAAACATGTCCCATACTCAAAAATCCCTATGTCTAAATTTAAAATAGAGGTTTCTACTTTTCCTTTGGCTTAATTTATGATTGGATGTTCTATAGCAGGACTGTCTTTTTCTTTAAGATGAGAAAGCTTCACAGAGGGCCTTAATTTCTGACTTTAGAGGAGTACTAGTCAATTTTGGTATTTTTCTACCCATCTTTTTGCATACCTGGTATTGGACATTTCATATAGATCAATTTGAATCCTTCTTTGGAGATGCTTTTTCACAGAATTGTCTACCAATGATTTGAGACATTTTTAATATTTTAATTGTATCCCACAAGAACCATGGTTATGTGACTCCAACAAGTTATATCAGTCAGAAGGAGGTCAGTCAGTATGAAAAGATTATTTATCGGGACGGAATAGAAATAATGTTGGTCAAAACTGTGACACTAAATATGAAATTGTGGTAGGATTTGGTTAAAAAACAAACTGACAGTCACTCAATCATTATGTCTCATTCTCCTAATTAGCTCTATTCTATTATATGGAACAAAATAAATTGTTTGCTTTGTCTTGCTGACTGGTATTTTTATTTTATTTACATTCAAGAGTCATGATCAGGCAATTAAACCTCCTGGTTATTTCGGAAAAAATTACTGTTGGACTAGCAACTTTTTTTAAAGAGTGAGCACTGGGTGACTCAGCTGGTGGAGATTTTCTTTCCTCCATGTTTTCTGTCTACTTACGATTCAATAGAGGCCAATTGTGCAAAAACAATCTCTAAAATAAAGTGATCTTTCCTCAAGGTGCATCGATAAATTGAAATGTTTTAAACAGTTTTATGACTATTTTTACAAGTAACATGATTCTCACTTTCTGCTTACAATGCAAGCACTAGTCAAAAAACTTGCTTCAACTCTTGAAAAATAATTAAAGGGATAGTTCACATTGTTTACAGACATCTGGAAACTGTCACAGTGAATTTGTCTGAATGAAGAAATCATTGGAGTGGTGAAATATTTATAGCTAGTCTACTTGGCTTTATTATAAAATAAAAAAAAACTGAAAAGTTATGCGGCACAGTTTAGGTTAATATTTCAGATCACATTTGTGATTGTTTTCTCAACTACACATAAGTGAGACTTTGCTTGAATTAAGTTGGCCAACTTAATAATAACCAGGTCAGGAAGTATGGAGGAAACTTTTGAAATTGAGGATAAGTGGTATATTTTTCCAGATCAGAAAAGTTGATCTGTCCCATAATATTAACATAACAACACAGATTATTAAGACAGCAGTGACAGAGACAACAGTGTCTCTAGTAAAAGTGTACATACTGAGTTGTATTGCACAAATATTAAGATTTTTCAGCTTGAAATGCTACCAATTGTTGAAACTTGCCAAAAAGAGATGTCAACTTAACTTTCACATCTCTGTCTTTACTTTTCTAAGAAGTCGCTTGATGAGAATCTGTTAAGAATCTTGTAAAAATCTGAACTATAACCTTCAAAGCAATAGTGGCATTTTTCCATCTAAATTTTCCTTTTCTTGTCCAAGTTGCAGCATGAAAACCAACATTTATTTTTATTTTATAATACACGATACATCAGAAATGAAAAAGGCCCAGTTAAATTATGCTCTTTCATTTAATATGTTCATTGAAATACTAATGTTTTTACACAAGACATATTCTATAGAAACAGAATATGTGGCACAGATTGGGTTATATAGTTTTTCTTACACCGTAGCAACAACAAAATAATAGAAGAGATTAAAAGTTTCTATTCCTAACATATTTTCACAGAAGAACTGTACAATATAAAGTTTATATAATATTTCCAAGTGGCCAACATTGCTCTGCATGTTTTTGAACATTCAACCTACTTCATCAGCTCTAATAAGCACATTTTATAACTTGAAGTATTTTTTTTCAGTTCAACTCCACATCTAAACTCTTAAACTTTCCATCTTCCTGCTACTATGACGCCAGTAATAAATGAGGCAGATCGACACAAAACGAAAGCAGCATTGTTTTCATAAGCAGGCACTTACGCCACAAGGCAATTAAAGTACCATCATTAACACATTCAGTTTTACTCTGACAGCAGAATATAAAACACAGTTTTTAAGAAGATTGACCTTCTGTAGCTACATAATGACATGTAACTAACAGCCTTCCTCTGTCATATATAATATAGTTTTACTCCTTTTCTTGAGTTTAAACCACAGCTATAAACCCACATGCACCACTGCAAAGATTTAAGCTAATAATTTGCCTTCAGCCACTCTGATAAGAAATAACTACAAACTGCATTTTTGTGCTTTTTTTGTAGCTCTATAAGGGTATTCACACTGTATGATTGCGTTTCATTTCATGTGTTCTACGATTGCACCTATGATTATAGCAATGGTCTAAAAACAAAGGACGTGGGTATTGTGTTGCTGTAGAAACTGGCTTCAGCAGGTTCCCATGGTACTGACTATGGTGTAACTGAACCTGGACATGGACGCCCCGGCTGCCAAACCGTCCTCCTCGTTGTCACTCGGCTTACAGCGGCGGCAATGTTGACAGCAAGGCGCAAAGCAGCAAGAGAAAGTGCCGAGCAGGGCCTTACGGAAACGCATGTTCATGAAGCAGTAGATGATTGGGTTGACGCAAGCAGATGTGTAGCTCAGCAAATGGATGAATGCAATGGGCGTCCCAGAGAGGGCACGTTCGGCGGAGACGTTATCAAAAGCCCGCCAGGTGTTCACACAGTACAGAGGCATCCAGCAGAGAAAGAACAAAACAACGATGACCACTAGCATACGTATGACTCGCTTCTTGGCCTCCAGATTGGCTCCCGATGTGTTGCTGCGGGGTCTGTGTATCTTCATGGATTGGGTTGATGTAGACATGGGGTTCATCTCCATTGAGCTTGGGCGCACACTAACATAGCAACCATCTTCATCATCAGGATTATTCGGCCCACAGGAAGCAAGCCCATTCTTCACATCTGCAGGAGGACAGCAGTGTAAGAAGTTTAGGTATTTGTATGGTTATTAAATGCAGTGAACTGCTTTATTTTGAATTTGATACACTAACAAGCAGAAGAAATTTTACTTTTATTAAACATAATGGTTTTGCTCTACGAGGAAGAGAACTTTACCACACTCCTCAACACTCCTGTTGAGCACCGTGCTGAAACCTAAGGTGTGTTATAAAAGGTGTAAATACTGAGAAATATATAGATAATATAACCTACATAGTTTTTACAGGAAATGTCTTTAACCCTATGACAGGATAGAGAGAAAAAATGGTTTTCAATATGCATTAATTCATGTTAAATTTAGTTGTGTTTATTCAAATGATGTAAAAGTTTATTTTTAAGCTTGACCAAAGTGCTTTAGTACTTTAAATCTCTGAAGGAAAAGTCCAATTCAGACTACACATTTTATGTTTATTATATTCCACAGAAAGTTTTTGTGCACTTGAGAATATTAAACATTAAGACAAATAATCTTATGACAAATATGGAGGGGAAAAAGCTCAATATCAACATCTAATATTACTATTTTGTATTCAAAAAGGCAGATAAAGACTTTGGTTAAGTTAGAATGAAGCATTTGAAACATAATGTATTTTGAGTTTGCAAGATTATACATGTAAAATTATATAATTTGGTAGTTTGACCCTAATGACCAAACTGTCCTTAATAGTGTAGCAGCAAAATATAATTTACTTAATAAAATGCTTTGAAAATTAAGCAATGCCTGTTTGTTTGTTTTTTTTACTGTGAAACAAATGTTTTCTTCCACTGGTTTAAGAATACCTTGAACTGGTAATTATTATAATTGTCCCTTTTCCCTCTAGCTGGCTGATTGATCTTTGTGGAGACACATGCACCTATTTGTATGGTTTATTATGAATGAGTCATGGTTCTTTAAAAACCAGCTGCTCAGCTTAATGAAACAAAAATAAACTTGCATTTTCTGCTGAATGCAGTAATCACTCATCAGAGGATTTTGAAATATCGGTAATATTTAGTAATAATGTTTCTTCAACAAAGAGAAAAGCCCAACAATAACATTTGGAGAGCCGCAAGCTTACAATTTACTAACAAAAGATGTTCGTTTGGAACGTAGATGAATGTTTTTCCAATTACTACATTGTACTGTTCCCGTTTCCTTCTTATTTGTCTGTAATATGTTTGTAGAAGAAAAAAGAATGCAAATACTCCAAGCCCACAGTTTTACAAGAAAATTGAACTATATAACCCCGCATTTCCTTGAACTCTCCCCTCTGGCTATTATTACCAGAAATACTTGTTTATCTGAAAAAAGTTTGAACTATATGTAACACAATGATGAACTGTTTTTACATTATTAAAAATGATTCATAATTACTAAAATAAGCAATTCCACTATATCTCTTGAAAGGGGTCACTGGGTAATAGTGCAGGTGAAAGACACAAAATTATTCTATTGCCAAAATATATTTAGAATCAACTAATCTCAAATAAGTGGAATTATATACTTAAAAAACATAGTTTTATGTTTAAAAATTCATAAATTATAAAACATATACAGAAACTAAACCCTGTTAAAACAACAAATTACATATTTTACTTACAAAGCACCATTTTACAATTGAAAAAACTTGTTTGAAGACTGTATTAGCTTAACACAACAAATCCGTTCAAATATAATATTAAGACTCCCGCGGTCTTAGCACTACGCTCAGTTGGAGCGCAGACAGCTCGGAAGTGTCCTGTCAGAATGTCAATTCTTGAAACCACACAGAAAAACCTCAGAATGACACACCTGAGGTCAGTGCAGCCCCGCTGGGCTGTGCATGGGGTAAAAAGCTTGCAGTGATAAATCTATAATCTAGAATAAAAATAATTCAATAACTGCCACAAGCTTTAACTTCAGGAGGACTATGCTTGCAACAGTAGTTCTAATTATCAGAACTAAACAAATAATCATTCAATTTATTTACTTGATTTTTTTCATTCCTCTAAAGGTTTGTGCTTTCAAAAACAAATGCAAGCTTGATAGTATGCGCAAATCCAATCTACAAACAGCACACCAGCAGGATTGTGTCAGCAAAATGAGGAGAGCATAAATAAATAACTGCCATCATGAATATCATGAATATGAGAGACACATTCTGATTATCAGAAAGCCCAAAATTCTGGCAGGAGGATTTAAAATGTAATGACTGATGTAATGACCCCAATGTGATTTACCAAACCTGTGACCATATCGCAGGTGCTGCTTTTTACTTGTATGTGCAGCACATTTGAAAAACAGGCACAAATGCTAACCTAAAATTGTCTGAAGTCACTGTGCCGAAGAGGAAGCATCAATAAAATCAATGTAATAAATAGTAAATTACCAGTAGATTCTTTGTTGAGGGCGGTCTCGGATCGGATGCCTCGATAAAGCTTCCTGGAGATCAGTCCATAGGCAACAATCATCACCACTCCTGGAATCGCGAACAGCACAAGCAGAAGAAGAACATACCTACAGGGGACACATTTGGAAAAGTTGACAAACAACTAAGAGTGAATAAGTCCGCTGCTCTTGTAGTTTAGGTTTGTGCTGATTTCTGTGCATTGGAGAGGTGCTTGTGCTCTTGCAAGTCAGGTGCAGTCATAGTTTTGTGTCGGATCTTTATTTTTTCGACATCTGCTGGTGTCAGCCAGCGGGTGACCCGTCAGCTGTTTGGTTCGCGAAACCACGAAAAAAGTGAATAAACTGGTGCTCATTTCCATCAGAAATAAATTAAAACTCTTCAGCTGTCTTGCAGTTGCTCTATAGGCTGAGAGACCAACATTGCTTTTGAGTGTGTGGCCACTTGCTCGCACCCCCTGACTGGTAAAGACTTTAACCAGTCAGAAGTCTGACTTTTAAGACAATTAAGACTTTCAGAAACTTATCTGCTGTTGTTCTATCTCACAACGGCTATAATAGGATGCAAAGTTCTGGATAATTCAGAGTTAGTTGGTTTTAGTGAAGTGATCAAAGGCACGCATCATTTCTAATTACATCTCATTACTCCAGCAGTATTATAAACACAGCAGAACACCCAAACATCAATCTGCATGCACCTGCATGCATGTGTGCTGTAAGTATTCTCTCATTTTGACGTTGTTTGTTTATGTCCTCCCTTCTTATTGATTTGTCTCTGAACAATTTAAAATGGGTTCAACAAAAGATAAACAAAACGTGTAGCACTGTAAACAGAGTTGGAAGCAATCATTTTGGTCCCTTTTGCTTTATCTCAAAACAAATTACTGGAGATGATCAATTGGAATAAATCATAAAGAAATCTAGAAAAATGTATTTCCAGTTTAAATTACTATAAAAATAACCATGGACTCTTAGAAATTTCTGTAAATTTACAGGATTATTTCTTAGAGTGTGGGTGAACTTGTGAATAGGAACATAATCAGGTACATTTTAATATTTTACTGCTCACATGGTTTAGTTCTTTCTGAAATAATTGGTATTGTTTTACCACAATTGAAAGCCAATAAATAAACTTTTGTTTCACTTTCTTTCTTTTTTTTTTTTTTTACAAACCTTAGATTTTAATTGATTATTCACCTCCATGAATAATCAATCCAGAGCTAATTGAAGTCTGGACTGAAGTTCTTTTATCACCAACATGTTTTTTGTACATGTGTTGTTAACAGAATCATGTCATGTAAATATAAAAGTTGCTAAACAAGTTGAATCTTCAAAAAGTTGCAGATTTTCCCAGTTGGCTTTCATCTCCACAAGAGCCTACCGAATAAAAACAACTTAGAACAAAACACTCACCAGGTCTGCTCTGCCGTTGCGACAGGCCACTTGTGGCGACATTGGTGTGCTGTGGTGTTGTCAGAACGCTTGAATGGCCTGAGGTGACTGATGATCGGGTAGGGGATCATGATGATGAAGGCCAGCACCCATGTAACAGCAATCACACGGTAGGCATGGGACTGGGTCTGCCACGCCCGGGACTTCAGAGGCTTGCAGATGGCACTGTAGCGCTCAAGGGCTATGGCAACTAGGTTAAATGTGGAGATGCTCACTGATGTGCCTGCAGGAGAACAAAGCGGGTCATCTAAAGGGCTGAGAAAAGATTCATCTCACCACATAAACAGATATTTTCTCATTTTAATGAAATAAAATCACTGCAAGTCAGAATAGGTAAGAAAATGTGGTTAATGTTAAAATAATATCTGAACCTACAACCAGGCTTGATGCTGTGCAGCCAACATGTGGAGAAGAACAGTGTTGAGGTAAATAAATTGGGCAGATATATGAATGTCATGGTGAAGGAAATCATGTGACTCTCTGCCAGCGATATGATCATTCATCTACCCCCTAAAAGGACAAGACAGGAAATTATTCTTTACCTCCTTTATCCATGTCCTCTGTGACAATATAAGCTTCATACGCAGAGGACAGGAAGATGGTGGGTAGAAAGAAGACTCAGAGGTGCTTGTTTAAATCTTCAAATGATGGTTTACAACACCAGATTGTTTTGCCTTTCTTTTTCCTTCTACTTACTTCGTTGCGTTTTATGACAAACCAACTCTTAATGTCTGTTAATGGGGAATTTTGGCAGACTAACAAATTATCAGACAGTTTAATACTTTCTAATTATAAAAATCTGAAAAATTAGCTGTGCATTTGTATTTGGCCTTGTTTACTTTGACACTCATGAAGATTTCAGACATCATGAGACCAGGCCGTTTTTACAAACTGAGTGACCGTGCAAGAAGGAGACTGGAGAGAGAAATCACCTATGACTACACTGAAACGTTATAAGCTGCAGAAGCTGAGACAAAGGGGATGTTTTAATTCTTTTACTTTTTATGGGCACTATGTTTCTCTTCATAAAAATATTCTCTACAATTAGAGTAGAACAACGTAGTACTAACACTAAGAATCGTCATCATGCATAGGTAACTTAGTTTCCAGCAGTCTCTTCTTCAGATGCATAGACAGTCATCACTCATTTGCAACTCAATCACATTACTCAAATGTCAAATAAATTCTTCATGCAAAGCGACAGTCCTAATAGCCTTTTAAATTTTGGGCTTTCCAATAAAAAGAATAAAAAAAACAATCTGACCAACTCAAATGTTTTCCCATCCAGTCTGTACGGGAATATAATTAGAGACTTCTTCATGACAATAAGAATACTGTCGCAGTAAAAGAAAAAAAAACTCATTACACATCTTGACTACTGGAAAATTACCACTTAGGAACTCCAAATTGAAGCTACAGAAAATATATATCAATGAACCTCCCACAATTGGAAAAGGTGATGAAAATAGTCAGTGGATGTGCAGCCACTCAATAGTGATCGACCTCTTTTGTAATTTGATTGACGTCAGGTCAGGAAACGTGCCACCTTCCTGATTACAGGAGCTGCATTTATCTGGAGTTTTATTGTAGCAAGACAATGATGGGCTACAATGTCTGAAGATGGTTTTGTTCTCTATTCATTTTCTGCTAGAAGCAAGTCAGTTGCTGCTAACGGCAGTATTATAGTTTAGAAAGAGTCATTTTCTTGTATAAAAAAAGGACTGTTACTAAATTAGACAGGGGAAGTTTCCTTTTCCTTTTTCCATTGTGGTTTCAAAGAACTCTACAGTAGATTTTCAAAGTAAAAAATTACACATTTTGTTTTATGCAAAAATTGAGAAAAGATGTCTTTCCCACATTCCGAGACCTTGGAACAGCTCTACATGTAAACGACCACAGGAAAAAAACACGACACTTACAATGGGAATTTCTACCTTTCTGATTCTGGACATCAGTGGACATTTTTTTAAAAATATTTTAGGTAGGCTGTACTTTGTTTTTAGATAATGAGTTGATAAAATTTTACTTTTCTAGTAGGCAGTGGGTTCTGTCCAAATTTAGGATAAAAATAAAATTATACATATTTGTCTTCCTTGGCCTTTTGACCAACCCAAACCAGGTTTGGTGAAAAGAATATAAAGTTAATCCTTTTCACCATTAACTTTATATCAGATTATTGATGTTGGTCTTTGTCCATTTTATAGCCAGGCAAAGTTTAAATGCTTCACCTTGGCAGGTGAAGTTATTTTGATTAATAAACATACTTCTACTGCTGCAACAATGTTTCATTACCGGCTGCACCATTTCTATGACAGATTTAATGCCAACACATTGGGACTGCTGGAACAGAGCATGAATATTGAGTGGTTGCCATTGGTCAGAGCTACAAACTACATCATAGTCATAATCATGACACTCAAGCCTGGCATGACTTCTCCCCCAGTAACAGAGGGCTCTCCTAGCAGTGGTCAGTAAGATTACAGGAGACATTTTTTAAGTTTTCTATTTACAATGTAATGTGAAAGTCCACAGATCCAGATTTACTCTATTTACAAGGAAAAGTTTAACGTTTATAGGTATGCATTACTCTAGTGTAGATTCTCAGTTATCCAAAATGTGACAATCAAAAGTGCTTAAGCAAAAGGCACTTTTGATTTGGACGTCACTTGTGTGAAGACAAGAAAGAGTTGTGACATCGTACCAAGAAATCTTCACGAAATAAAAAAGTTTAGTTGCCATTTCTTGGGACTGCAAAGAGAATGAGTGTCTAAAGCTGATCTGCAATATGTTATTAAGCGTTATCGAGTTTGAAACAAAAAGTATTCAAGGATTAAAAAGGCTCTCATTGTACTAAGAGCAATTTATTTGTAGATGTAAGGAGTACATTGATGACTAAGAGCAAATTTGTGACTTATCTTCCAATGTCCTCTATTTATTGCTGGAAAAGAAGATAAAAATATTTCAGCAATTTGGAGTTTGAACATTTTTCTTTGAGCATCATTCCGAATATGGTAATTTATGCAAAATCTTGATAGAAATAGCTTATAGTGGAGTCATTTTTGAATCTCTGTTAGGAGGCAAATGACCCTTCATCTGCAAGTGCTCATCCCAAGGTATTTTACCACAGTGTTTAAAATTCAGTGAGATCTGATATAAATGACTTTTCAAAGTACATTCAAATAAAAATGATTCAGATATGAAGAGAAGGTTACAAGGTGAACATTTTGCTCATTACAAGCAAAGGACATATAACTTTGCAATTGAAAAAAAAAATAAAATAATAATTAATCCAGGGTTTACCACATGTATACCTCGGTACAGGAATGTCACTGCATAGTGAATGGTAAGACACGTTTTCAAAGTTTGTTTTACAAAGAAAAATCTGAGCACCCATTACTCTGATCTCCATAAATAAAATGCAACCAATAGCTTTCAAAAGTTACCTACTATATTCAATTGTGTGTAATTTTGTAGAAAGAAAGAGGGTGTGTGTGAGTTTGAATTGTCTTAAGAGAACAACTTAACATAATTTAGACTCCTGCCCGTACTCTCCTTGATGCTAATGGTCCAATTGAACTTCCCCTTTACCCTCAAGCTCCTTGTTACTCACCCATAAGATAGGTCACTATCTTGCACATCAGAGCTCCAAAGACAAAGTCCTTGAGAATGCTGGGGATCAAGTTGAAAGGCATGCAGAATATGGCCATCATCAGGTCGCTCATGGCGAGAGACAACAGGAAGGTGTTGGTGATAGTGCGCATGTTCTTATTGAATGTGAGCACCACGATGATCAGCAGGTTGCCAGAAACACTTGAGAAGAAGATGAGCGAGTAGAGCAGGATCCGGAGTGTGTGGTCCTCCTCTGCACAAGAAGAACACGGGACATTAAAGAGTGCAGGTCTGAATGAAAATGATATATCTTATGTTTTACATGTTGAAATTCAATTTGTTTTATCGAACAGCCTGGTATCAAGACTTGTGTGTGTGCAACTTCACAGCTTATTGTTTCTGTTTCCTTGAATGGGTGTTAATGAACAGACCATATTAATTATCCTGCTAAGTCTTTGTAAAGGAGAGTTTGTTATTGGAGTGGTGGCTCCAATATCACTCCTAATCAGAAATGATATACACCTAAATATGTTTATAACTATCACAGTATGGCCAAAGCTGCAGTGAATGTATCATTAAATGTATCATGAAAACACAACTCACTGATGCTTTTGAAAAATTCAGGATCATAAAATCTAGCGGGGACCATCACAGAGGAGATCGTATTTCCTCAGTAATAGTTTCCTTTTATTGGTTTCTCAATAATTAAATATAAAGTCCTTCTTGTAACATTAAGCCCTGTGCTCAATCACATCTTGAAGATTTCATAGTTTCACTTCTACCCAAGCAAGCACTTTGCTCCCAGGCTTGGGGTTTATTTGTGGTTTCCCAACTTTTTAAAAAGTAGAATGAAGCATTGACCTTTCAACATTCAGGCTCCTCTCAGGGTGAGCGGCTCCAAGTTTTGGACTTAGCGGCAGACATTCTGTCTGTCTTCAAGATTAGGCTCAACAAGTCATAAATAAAAAAGACAGTACATGACTGGCTCTTAAGACTATTATTTGTCTCTGTAGTTATTACACCATAGAGTCAATATTCTGATCTCCACTTTGTATATATATGGTCATATTGAATTAGAATATTAGTAACTTAATCCACACATTATGAAACACATTAAACACATTATGAAGCTCACAGACATTTGTTTTCAAGTTTGTATTTTTGTTAATTCTGATAATCTTCTGCTTACAACAAATAAAAACAACATTTAGGATCAGAATATTGCATCAAATCAATAAAAAAATAATAATTATACAGAATTTGGGCAAATAAAAAATATGGAACGGTTGTTATTCCCAGAAAGTACTTTTGTTCTGACAAATGAGCATCATCAGATCGCCAATACAAATGAACAAACTCTTATATATAGAAAAGTTTGTTCATTTGAATTTGTTGTGCTTTGTGTCTTTTTGCTGATATAGTTGATTGGGTTTTTTGTTTCTTTGGATTTGTGCTTTTTTGTGTCTCTATCCACTTTACAACTCCATGTTTATGTATCTCCTGAACTTCTCCATTGCTCTGCTGCTCTGATAAACCAAACTGAAGGCTTGATGCAGTCAGGTTGTTTCCTTAGCGTTTAGAGTAAGTATAATCATTATAACTCTGTATTTGTGGCATTGCATTTAATATATTGATCTTTTTCTCACATCTAAAAGAATGGGAATTTGTGTCTGTATTCACTTTGATAAATGGAAATGTGATTATTTCATGATTTTAATTAATTCACAAGACATTAAAGTGTTAAAAATCCATTTACTTTTCTAAACTTTTATGGGTTTTTTTGTTTGTTTGTTTGTTGTTTTACTTTTACCTAGTGCGGTTTTGGAAAAATATTTAGTTTATTTTGTGTTTTCGAAAATGGTCACTAAAGTAGTTTCTCCCTTGAATACAAATAATGTAACATACAAAAATTCAATCTGAAGCCTGATGGAGTATCATTGTATCATATCCTCTAAAGTCTACATTATTTGCTTTTGCCTTCAGTTCGATACTTGCTTGGCCAAAACACACTTTGTAAAGGTTATCCACCGTGTCTGTATCCAGGGGGATAAGAAATCCCTGTGTGCACCACCTCAGCAGGACACCACACACATGAGCTGCAATTTCCACACATGCACAGGTAGCAACATGTGCAAACACACACAGGACTACAATTCCAACATTTCCACAATAAAATCAGGTTAATTACATTTGCCAAAATATGCAGCCTTCTCAAATTCCTATCCAAAATATATTGCTATCATCACATTCAATATGTTACCATTTCTATGAAGGGTACTCATGCAACCTAAAACACCTGATATTTGATCCAGACACTCTCTCCAAAGGTGCAGTGATCTTCAATGGGTATAGTCTGGTGGCGTTATTTTCATAAAACATATGCAGCATCATTCAATGCAGGCAAAGTTTTCCCTAAACTTCTATTTGCAGAAAACAAAAAGCACAATTTCCACCCTCATCCACTTTTAAAACCATAGGGTTTGGATATCGTAAAGGACTTTTCATCTGCATTTGATCCGTAAAAAGACATTGGTTGGGGATTAATCCATATTTAATTTGCTGGTTGCAATCCTTTCCCACCGACAGGCTGCAGCTGGTCAGCGATGATAACACCTCCTCCCCAGTGATGGCAGCTACTTGTGGCGATACACAAAGACATGTTAGCTCTCCACCACTGCTTGGCATTTACACTAATGACTCTGTTTCTACAGTGCCAATCCATGACTTCATCAAATATTATGACAGAAAAGGTCTGATTGAACTCATGACAGAAACTTTGCCTGCATTGAAAGATACTGTTTCTCTGAAGGGTACTCATGCAACCAAAAACACCTGATGTTTGATCCAAAAGCTCTCTCCAAAGGTGCAATGATCATCAATGGGAAGAGACAATACTCCGGGGTGCTGAGCTACATACCAGCAGGCCACATTACACAAAAAAGCTCTGACAGCCAGAAATGTCAACAAGTTAGTCTATCTAAGTGACTGGTTGAAGGTACTGTAGATTAAATATGACAGCAGATATGTCAGAAAAGCATTTGAAGTGTAGGAATATAGTTTATTTTCTATGGCTATATTTTAATATACCGGTTTGTTGAATTTAGACAGACATAAGACCAGAGCTGCTTTGCTGTTCACATTTTTAATCACATACATGACACCTAATGAGACATTTGAGTTAACATCTCTAAAGTAATATTTGAAACCAGACTTTTAAACCTTTCTGAAACAAGGTTTTAAAACTGAGAATCTTCAAATGAAAAGTTAAACGTAGTGATTAATCATTTTCCCAGAGTGTGAATAATCTGATATAATTGAGGTATACATAGACACTTGTAAAGTGTGTGTAAATACACACTTTATAAATAAATGACTCCAAATCTATAGGGGTAACATTGTTGGCATTTATTTCTTTTTAATCTAAATAAGCTAAATTCCTCAAAGCTTTTCCTGTGAGGTTTAGTCTAATTGGCCATCATTAATCAATGCTTTCTATTAGATTAAAGTAATAAGCAGTTAATAGTAGTACGTCACTGATATATTGACACTAAGCCTTAAAAATACAACATACGGTAGCAACTGTATGGCTTGTGTCAGCACAGCTAAGCTTCTCCTGAACCATATTCCATATTTTTGTATTTTGGTTCTCAGTAAACTCCAGATTTATACATACATGACTTGTGCACAGCTTGCTGGGAAGCATGATCCGAACTTCACTTATCTGCCTGCTTATTATAAAGAGTAAAATCGTAGCAATGTTCAGTTATAAAAAAAAGAGATTTTAAACAGATGAATGGATCACAACATTTAACTCAAGCATGTAGTTTCAGTGAATTAATCACAAAAATCCAACCCTGAACTGTTTTTGTATCACTTGCAGGCTTAGCAAAGGATTTAGCCACAGACCGGTCAGAAAAAAGTCAGCAAGTCAGTCTTTTGCTGTCTCTTTCATCTCTCTCTCTCTCCCCACATGCACACACATCTACCGACATGTGGCTTCGCCATCTGTCACACAACCTCCCCTGCAAATATAAAGCTCTAATATGGTGGCTGTGCTGCTGAGAGAACATCAGGGTTACTCCATGGAAGCAGCAACGGTAGCAACTTAAGATGTTTAATTTGGTTTTTGTGTGTCTGCGCTGGAGCGTGTGCCTACATCTGTGAGTGTATAATGAAAATATACAGACACATGATTGGCAAAAGAAAGAGAGCGTAGCAGTCTGTTTCAGTAGTGTCACTCTTCCTCTAGCCTAATGAAATATGTTATACTGGCTTTTGATTAATCAAAGCCAATTAGCTGTTCCTGTGTGCGCTGTGATAAATCCCTTATGGTTTACCTTTCTCGCTAATTATCTCACTGGCTAATAAAAGTCAGTCCGGTTCAGTTTATTTATATAGCATCAAGGACCATTGAGAAAAAGTAAACAGATCATGATTAGTTTTGCACATCTGTATCGCTGAATTCTTTAGTTTTTTTAAAGACAGCACTGGGATGGATCCCATCCAGCAAACACCATAACAAATAAACTGGTTACTTGCAACGACACCAGAAAGATAATTGTAGTAAAGGCATTAAGATTTTGATCAGGAGTGGACTATGTAAAGATATTTACCATACTGTATGATCAGATTGTTGGATAGAGTATGAACTCTAGTCAATAAAGTAAATAACTGTGCAAGTACGGTTGAGTGCCAATACTTCTGAAAACTTCTGGTGCTCTGGTTCAGTTGACCTCACTGACAAATGTAACAGTGCAGGGAATTAAGACAGAGCTTGCCAAATGTTTAGCAACAAATCCCAACAAGGAAACAGAATGAGGCTTGCGCAATCTAACCCCTCTGGGAATAAGTTTGAACTAAGAAGGATGAGACAGAGAAAAACTCCCATCGGACTCAAAGAAATCCAGTAAGTGATAAACTTAAAATGATGCAGAGGGCACACAAGAAGTCCACTTTGTGGCTGATGAGGAGTGTGTGTCACGGACGTACAGCGAGGAAGCAGGAGTGTGGTCCCGTCAGACCGTCAGTTCCCAGAATCCCCCACACACACAAACACACAAAAAAGCTTGTAAAAGTGCATATGGGATAAGTGCCACCCTGTCGAACTGCACACATGGTAAGAAGCTCATTGGGTCCAAATGGCCCCGTCTCTTAATGTGAACTTTATACAGTCGCCAATTTTTATATGAACTACTTCTCAGTCCAGCGTTTCTAAGGGTTGTAAACAGTGTAAGGTACTGAAGCATAATACTG